CATTTGGCTTCTACCTGGAGGGCTCGAGCCGAGCGGGTGCCTTGCTGCTGCCCTGCCACGGCTGCCCGTTCCCTCTCCACGGTCCCCCAGGGAACCTCCCCTGCTTTCCTGGGCAGGGGCCACGGGCCAGGTGTGGGCGCAGCAGCTCACCAGCACCACCTCCTGCCCCAGGGATGTATTGCGGTTTAGAGCCTCCACTCGCTCATGCCCGCAGCAGTCACCTGCCCCGAGCCCAGGGCTGGGGCCGGTTCTTCCCTTCCACTGAGGCGCTGGGGTGGGGCGGGGGAGCTCTTGGATTTGCTGGGGGGGATGGAGGAAGGTCCCTGTGGACAGTATCCCCATGTATAAAAGGGGGTGCTGGGTGCGAGGGAGAGAGCAGTGGGGGCACAGGGCCGGAGCCCAGATGCCTGTTACTGGCAGGCCAGCAGCATGGGCAAGGGGCTATTCACAGCACAGGGGGGGCTCACCTGTGCGAGAGGGCGCCCTGCAGGTTTGACGGTGGGGGGGGCTTAGCTGCTCTGGCAGCAGGGAGGTGCTCCATGGCCCCTTTGCAAAGGAGCCGCAGGAGGAGCGGGTGCCCCAGCTCCCGAAGGCCCTTTGGGTGTCCAGCCGCGCCAGCACCTATCGGCCCGGCCCGGCTCAGCAGCAGCTGGGAGTCAGGGCTCAGCCCAGCGCATTGTGCAGCCCGCGGCGCAGCCCGGTCTGTGTTCAGACAGGGCCTAGTGCCACTGCAGGGGAGCCGCTCTCGCAGGGCAGGTCACTGCTGCACCCTTGGGTGCCCGCCTGCAGGGCTGGGGCAGGAGCAGGGCCCTAGCGCTGTGTTGTGCTGCCACCTCGTGGCAAGCCAGAAAGCTGCAGCCGAGCTAAGGGGCCCAGCTGTTCTGCTGGCCGAGGGGGGCTGAGTTGAGGCTGCTTCGCTTTAGAGCTCGGCCCAGAGCTGGGGGGGGTGTCTCCTTTCCCCAGCCCCTGCAGGCCCCCGTTTCCCTCCCTCCCTGTTGGCCCGGGCGGGGGGCCTGGCTGGGAGCCCAGTGACTGCAGCACAGGTGCAAAGGATGCTGGGTGCATGGGCCAGGCCCTGCTCTGTCATGGCCTCCCTGCACCATCTTGGGCCAGTCCCTTAGGGTACAATAGGGACCCCAGCACTGCCCCTTGAGCTCACACACCAGAGCCCCCCTCCCCCCCCCCAGCACAGCCGCATGTTGGCTGGGCCCAGCTGCTGGCGCGGGGCAGGCAGAGCTGGGCAGGCTGCTTGGGGGGGCCGGCTAAGAACAGCAGCGCCCCCTGCACCCGGCCGGGCCCGCAGCCCCACGCTGCTTGGGACGGACGGACGGACGGACGCCCCCTGCACCCGGCCGGGCCCGGCCCGCAGCCCCGCGCTGCTGGGGACGGACGGACGGACGGATGCCCCCTGCACCCGGCCGGGCCCGCAGCCCCGCGCTGCTGGGGACAGACGGACGGACGCCCCCTGCACCCGGCCGGGCCCGCAGCCCCGTGTGACGAACTGGG